CCATCGTGGTAGGATTTGAAATTAACAGTATACTTGTTCATTACCATAATGTGAACGACGATGTATGGAGTAATAAATTCTGCGAGAAAGAGGATCTTCACAGCCTTTGTGGCTTTCGAATTACAGACATGTCAGAACTGATTTCAATTTTGTTTCGTCCAAAGAGAGTGATATCTCCTTAACGTCAATACTTACAACGAGTTGGTTCGAATCCTGCTTGATGGCAGTCCAGAACGTTGTCGTTCAGCAATTGAAGAGAGTTTGAGCTGATCGTGATAATCGGCCATGTTATTAACAATTCATGGAATCACTGTGATAAACAATATTGTTTTCCAAGAAATAGAATGTGATGTAAACGGTTGACTGATATAGTGAAGAGAGTTTCTTAGGAACTCTCGAGCTCCCAACAGTTATCTCCTTATAGGAAAGGAGGGTCATCGAACAGAACAAAGAGTTTTTCAATTCCTAGTAACATCATCCATCAGATAAGTCTCAATTTAGCGGATTTCATTGAAATGTGAATAAAAGTTGAAAAAGAAAAAATGAACGAAAGCTAATCTCCCGTTCGGCTGGTTCAATCCTTGATCAGAGGTCGGATACAACTGATGCCAATATGCTATTGGTTATTTCCATATCCTAATGGCTTCCGAGAGAAACGAGCTAACCGCTCTTACGACTCCATAGACAACAGAAGGTGGTCGAATAAACAAAAAATTCAAACATAATGAAATTTATATGGAAAACTCGAATAACTAAACAAAACATGTTTGCAAATTGTTTAAGAACAAAATGCTCTTCAAACTTTCCGTACAGTCGATGAAATGAGATTCACATCTGCACCTTTCGCTTTCGTCCTAGTTTTTAGCAATGGAGCAAAGGTTGGTCTGTATTCTCAGAGAATACTATTCTCTGAGAATAAAGGCATTAACAGTGTTAATGCCAGAATGTTCGAGGGAGCACTCCCCACAACCGTCGAACCAAATATGGACATGAACATACGTTAGATTTCAGTTTGAGTCAAAACAGTCATCAGTGGATGTTATAGGTCCTACTCAACTCATTATGGACAAACTTGTTGCTATGAGTCAAAGGAACTTCTAGAACAGAAGAAGAGAGCTAACACAAACTGTTTTACTATCAGAAAACTAAAGTCAAAGTAACAATGATTTGGTTAGATTATGAAACGAATGATCCACTATCTGAATCATTTATAAAAATCAATAAACGCATAAGGAACAATCTCAAATATTCAGGTTAAAACTAAGGTACAGATAGCTGCTTACCGTTCCTTCTTCAGTCTAAAACAAACGACATGGTACAGAAAATGATAATTAGAACGCGGTGGATGGTTTGATATCCGCTCCCCAAGGCAACCAAATGTTTGAATCCAGCTGAATGTTCTTGTTCTCCTTCGAACTGCGTTTGAATGAACTCACCAAATCATGATTGCTATTCGTTACTGAGCTTATATTCTCGAAAGAATTGGAGTTAGTGACAGTTCCATCCGTGGTACTCGTCACATCGATAGGGATATTCTGAAATCAACAGAAGTGAGCTTGAAAACTGATGGCAATGAGAACATCGTTGCAGACTTGCTGCTGCTGTTGTTGCTGCTGTTGATAACCTTCGAAGAAGTTGAAAGTTTGGTTTATATATGGAATGAATGGATCTGAGAGATATACAGGATTCCCTGAAACATGTAGAAATGATATAATTGGAAAAACTATTGATAGACCTTGCAAAGAATTGAAAAAGTAAGGGGATTCATTAGAACTTGGAGAAATTTCAAAACTTTTATTGAAAATGTTATCCTGCGTATAAGAAAGAAGGGGATTCATGCTCTGGAAAATAGTTTGGGTTTCATAGACAAAGCAATGACCTACATATTGGTTGTTAGTGATAGTATCAGAATCTTGACTATCATTGAAAGCATGAATAGCATTAGCATTCTGAAAAGTGGACACTCGTAAGCTCTCATGTTCAAGTTCCCAAACCCTATAACTGGATGAAGAAGAGTATGGTAAGGTCATCATTGAAGGCTTGGAAGTAATAGGATTGTCCCAAGTCTGAAAACCTCTTGAAATTACCTTATTTTCGAAGTGAGTTATCTAACCTGTAATGAGCCAATATTGGGAACATGCTTCATGCCCAGCTGATCCGATATATTTCTTAACAAGTTAGCTATTAATTTATTTCCGAGTTGTCATACTTGGAGGTGATTGCGGTGTGAGAAGAGTTCGATGAAGCTGTACAAGACAAGTCAGCAGTTTTGATATTGGAGTCTGAAAACTGATCTCTACAACATATCCAATGTTCCCAAACCTCTCGACATTGCTGATCCGTCCAAACTGCTGACTGAGTTCGACTGAAAACACTTTCAAATATGGTTACTAAGGTTTCTCTTACATTTCGACTGTTATTGATAAGTCGTTTCAAAATGATTTGCATTGAAAACAGATTGTTTGTATCCCTTCAAAATAATTTTCATACATTACAAATTCCCATTCAACAAACATAAATTCGATCTGATGAACACGTGCGGTTTGAATATCCTTGTAAGTAACGTCAGGAAAGTACGATTGACCATTCTTATAGGATACTTCGGGAACTCCCCCTGCTGATAGCTGCAAAGTAATAACGTAATGGAAAAGAAGAATTCAATTTAAACCTTGAGAATTATACTCGGACCATTGCGTGAAAAAGATATTACATCATGCAATGATACACTTATTACAGATTTATACCTGTAAGAACACCTGAACAATTCAATTCGACTAGAAGACTCACCAATCGGAACCTTGGTAATACTGAATATCATAGAAGAGCCGCATAGTTTTCTGGCAGATACTCAGAACATTAGCAACTGGGAACAAAGGAATCAACTGTAACAGTCATATTAGATAGTATCAAGCTGAATTTCTCTACTTTAAGACGTCCAATCAACAAACTTCCAAAATATATAACTTCTGCTTCAGCAGCTAATACTTGGTTTGTTGCTTTCTGTCTTTTGTTGACTTTGAGTTTGTAATCTGAAAAATGAAAAGGAAATCTCAAAGATAATCGAAATGCTTACTAGTACGTTCCGTGGGTTTCATGCTTTTTGCCTTTTTCTTGAAAATGGCGGACAAATCTTCCACCTGGTAATTGTTCAATTCTTCTGTCCAGGAGATAGTTACTCACCTCATTCGAACTGCCATCGGCAACAGCTAGAAGTCCTTTCAACTCTCTCAATGTTAGTTTCTTCAGCAGCAAATTACGAAACTCCGATATTTCATAAAGAGTTAACTGAGAAACATCAATAAATAGCCATAATATAACATTCAGATACCCCGTAGACATTGTTAATCTTGTTCATCACATCCAACACACCATACTTTGATTCATCTGACCACGAGGTAATGCTTTTATCATCTAGAATTACTATGTTGATTATAATCAGTTATCAGTCACCTACCCATTGTACTTCCCACAGCTAAACAGCATTTCGATTCTTGCGAAATTCGTCTAGCTTTTCATACATGATTTGAATTTGAATAAAGTCGCGCTACTTTTCCCGCTGAGTACTCCAACCTCTCACTTGTAATGGAAGGCAAGTGATTTCTTCATCATGCAACATACACCTCCTCACTCTCTCACTCAACCATTATTCAGTGATTCATATAGATTCTATGTAGATTAGTGATGTTGTATGACTATGTGTGAAAGTCGGTATGATAGTTGAACCAAAATGTCCTCATTAGCTTAAAACGGCTCTAACGTGTGTACATCCTCATTCAAACCAATATAAGATGTTTGATTGCAAGTTTATTATTACAATGATGACAATGAGGAAAGATATAGACAACAGATCACCTGAATAATATTTTCTAATAAATTTTGAAGTCAAAGAAAATTTTTCCCGTTTTCTCGACTTCTTTCAGTGTTCCTATAACGAACGGCCAAAAAAACTCAGTTAAATGGTGTTCATGTACACTACGAGTAAGAGAATGAGCAGAACTTGAATCATTAGCATGATTATCCTGATCAACAGGCCTGAAGGCTACTCCGAAGCTCTGTCAGAAGCTCTTGTATTGAAAGGACGCAGCGATTGATTTACCTCGGTAGCTTGATTTGCCAATTCCACGATAGTAGGTAACATATGAACAGTTGATACGAAAGGTACGATCTGTACGAGGTCAATACGAAACGGTTTATCTCTGTTAATAGATATGGAGAAAAGGATTGAATAGATGATTTACCTGAGGTATCTCGGAACATCTCTCCATCTCAAGAGGTGACTGCTTCTGACGAATTGTGAGTAACCCCGCCTTACATCATCATATACTATCTTCTTGTCGTGAAAAATGTGTTCGCCTCTATACGATCTCCAGGGCCGAAACGGTTTACACGGCCTGCACGGAGTACGCGGCCAATAGACCGTCATTTGAACTTCGTCGCTTGTTGTTTCCTCATCTGTACCAGGATATACTTGTATAGCATCAAACACAAGCCAACAGGGATATTTGAGGAAATGACGTTTAGCATAGTTGCTATTCAAGATAGAGTAGAACTCCTTGTTCACTCGTTTCAATCTCCAGAATTTCTGAAACAATCATAACTTTCCATATCCTTTTCAGGAAAACCTTGAACTCATCGAAGTCCGCTGTCTCATCCATTACTCTTTCGAGAATTTTTTCTTTGATTTCACGAGGCAGAAACTCAAACGGGAAAGAATACTCACCTCTGTTTCCATCGCATGAAGTCCTAAATCCCATTTCCGTCCTTGCTCACCTGAATGAAACAGTTTTAATCGATTGCGGCAACACTTGATAACTAATCAGCATCTCAGGAGACAGACGATAGGTACTTCGAATCCATCATTTTGGAAATTGATTGCGATCGATTCCATAATTTAGCTGCTCAGCCTAATAACGTCGAACACTACTAGAAATGGTGGTGGCCCGTTGTTGCCTTTCAATTGATCTCCGGGTCCGCATGAAGATGAGAAACACGATCACTTACCTACAAATTTGACACTACGATAAAGACAATATTCCATTATATGGTCATTATATAGAGCTATTCTCCAGTTCGGCTGGTTCAATCCTTAATTAGAGGCCGGAGACAACTGATGCCAATATGGTGTTGGCTGTTCTCTCATCCTGATGGCTTCCGAGAGAAACGAGCCAACCGCTCTTACGACTCCATAGACAACAGAAGGTGGTCGAATAAACAAAAGATCCAAATAATATAATGAAATTAGTTATTAGTTAAGTATGAACATGATAGGAACATCCCTCATAGTTCGGGCAAACTCAAGAAGCAGGCATTGGTTCAAACGTTTATTAGTACAACAATTGGAGTGAAGAGTCGTACCTTCGTCGTATTACATTGTAATTTATTACTCCTCATCCGAATTGGATAAAAAATGTCTATCAAATAGAATTCTGATTCTCCCAGCTTCTTCAACATCTGACAGTTCTGTCATTATCTTCCTGAAGGAGTTGTGATAAGACTCAAGAATGTTTGGATGATAAGTATCGAAATCGAGATCCTCAGGGAAATCTTGATCATCAACATGGAAATAGGGATCGAAACTGTAATCAGCATCACGGTAACTGTTATGAAAGCGACAACAACTGGGGAAGAAGAGCACGGTAATTTTCTATTGAAAGTTTGTGTTGTAGCTCAGTAAATCATTAACATACTTCGGAAGATTGATTAGCTAACTCTGTGATAGTAGATATCAGCTGATCAGTTGACAACAAAGGATCAACCAAAATGGAATCTATGCGAAACGGTTTAGCTCTGAAAACGAAAATGAGAAGAAGATTCCAGGAGAGTCCAAACCTGAAGAATTCTGAAATTTCATCGAAGAAGATTTCGTGATAAGTACACACGGTGTTTTTCTTATGATTTTTAGATGAAGTATCTTTGGGATTGATCGCGCAATTGATAGACATTACAGCCATTGCTCGACCTGACTTCTCATTGATAAACTGGTGGTCCCTTATCCTGATCCAACAAGGGTATTTGTGGAAATGACGTTTAGCATAGTTGCTATTCAAGATTGAATAGAACTCCTTGTTCACGCTTTTCAATCTCCAAAATTTCTGAAACAATCATAACTTTCCATATCCTTTTCGGAAAAACCTTGAACTCTTTGAACTTCGCTGTCTCATCTATCACTCTCTCCAGAATATTTTCTTTGATCTCACGAGGGAGAAGCTCAAACGGGCAAGGATTCTCTTCTACCTTCTTATCTATGGACGGTACGTCTCCTTCTTCAGCCCTCATTTCTCTCCTCTATAACCTGAATCAAGAACATTGTAATTGATCGAAACAGTATGAGT